GCAGTTTAATGTGATCCTTTATTGACAACGTTTCGCCCACACAGTGAGCTTTTTCAAGTCACAAACAGATCTACCTGGGGTGGAAGGTACGGGAGTATTTATAGTCAGGTTCAGATTGTTGAGGTCAGGTGGAGAATGCTGCATCTGATGATCTACCGGGTGGGGTTATAGAGTCTTGGGTAGCTTGGCAGGGGTATTGGACAAGTTGTGAGTAGACCTTCCCACATAAGAACATAGAACACTGCAGAAGGTCTACTCACAACTTGTCCGATACCCCTGCCAAGCTACCCAAGACTCTATAACCCCACCCGGTAGATCATCAGATGCAGCATTCTCCACCTGACCTCAACATTCTGAACCTGTCTATAAATAACAAAAAAGGCACAATACCGTGACTGGAACGATACACAAATAACCCGTCGTCGTAAGCTTCTCCCTTTTATGTGCGGGTTATTTGTGTACTGACTATAAATACTCGCGTACCTTCCACCCCAGGTAGATCTGTGTGACACTTGAGAAAGCCTCTGTGTGGGCGAAACGTTGTCAATAAAGGATCACATTAAACTACATGTCTTTGTTTCCATTGTGTCGGTATTTTATACCATTTATTTTCATCATTATTATTATAGAATGTATCACCATTAGTTATTATTATTATAGAATGTATCACCATTAGTTATCATTATTATTATAGAATGTATTGAAGAATTGACACTTATGCAACACATGGGAATCTTTATTGAAGAAACGTTTCGCCACACAGTGGCTTCATCAGTCCAATACAAAGTAGAAGTGGGTAAGGAGAGTAGAAATTTGAGGTAATCAACCTGGATTCGATGTGTTCAGTCCATCACTCTTGTAGGAAGTGCAGCATAGGGCCAGAGAGGTGGCTTATATACTGCGGTGAGATGAGGTGAAGCAGGAGGAGGCGGGATCACAGTGGGACCTGCCACTAGTGTAAGTAGCAGGAGGAGGGGGGTCACAGTGGGACCTGCCACTAGTGTAATTAGCAGGAGGAGGCGGGGTCACAGTGGGACCTGCCACTAGTTTTAATAGCAGGAGGAGGGGGGTCCCCAGTGGGACCTGCCACTAGTGTAAGTAGCAGGAGGAGGCGGGGTCACAGTGGGACCTGCCACTAGTGTAAGTAGCAGGAGGAGGCGGGATCACAGTGGGACCTGCCACTAGTGTAAGTAGCAGGAGGGGGCGGGGTCACAGTGGGACCTGCCACTAGTGTAAGTAGCAGGAGGAGGCGGGATCACAGTGGGACCTGCCACTAGTGTAAGTAGCAGGAGGAGGCGGGGTCACAGTGGGACCTGCCACTAGTGTAAGTAGCAGGAGGAGGCGGGGTCACAGTGGACCTTTCCACTAGTGTAAGTAGCAGGAGGAGGCGGGGGCACAGTGGGACCTGCCACTAATGTAAGTAGCAGGAGGAGGCCCGGGTCACAGTGGGGCCTGCCACTAGTGTAAGCAGGAGGAGGCGGGTCAAGTGGGACCTGCCACTAGTGTAATAGCAGAGGAGGCGGGGGTCACAGTGGGGCCTGCCACTAGTGTAAGTAGCAGGAGGAGGCGGGGGCACAGTGGGACCTGCCACTAGTGTAAGTAGCAGGGGGAGGGGGGGTCACAGTGGGAGCTGCCATAGTGTAAGTAGCAGGAGGAGGCGGGATCACAGTGGAGCTGCCACTAGTGTAAGTAGGGAGGAGGAGGCAGGGTCACAGTGGGACCTGCCACTAATGTAAGTAGCAGGGGGAGGCGGGGTCCCAGTGGGACCTGCCACTATGTAATAGCAGGAAGAGGCGGGTCACAGTGGGACCGCCACTAGTGTAAGTAGCAGGAGGAGGCGGGGTCACAGTGGGACCTCCCACTATGTAAGTAGCAGGGGGAGGCGGGTCACAGTGGGACCTGCCACTAGTGTAAGTACAGGAGGAGGCGGGGTCACGTGGGACCTGCCACTAGTGTAAGCAGGAGGAGGCGGGTCACAGTGGGACCTCCCTAGTGTAAGTAGCAGAGGAAAGGGGGGGTCACAGTGGGACCTGCCACTAGTGTAAGTAGCAGGAGGAGGCGGGGTCACAGTGGGACCTGCCACTAGTGTAAGTAGCAGGAGGAGGCGGGGTCACAGTGGGACCTGCCACTAGTGTAAGTAGCAGGAGGAGGCGGGATCACAGTGGGACCTGCCACTAGTGTAAGTAGCAGGAGGAGGCGGGATCACAGTGGGACCTGCCACTAGTGTAAGTAGCAGGAGGAGGCGGGATCACAGTGGGACCTGCCACTAGTGTAAGTAGCAGAGGAGGCGGGATCACAGTGGGACCTGCCACTAGTGTAAGTAGCAGGAGGAGGCGGGATCACAGTGGGACCTGCCACTAGTGTAAGTAGGACGTCGTCCAAAGGTTGGGCAAACGTTGAAGTCTTTGTACCAAGATCCCATAGAATGTATCACCATTAGTTATCATTATTATTATAGAATGTATCACCATTAGTTATCATTATTATTATAGAATGTATCACCATTAATTATCATTATTATTATAGAATGTATCACCATTAGTTATCATTATTATTATAGAATGTATCACCATTAATTATCATTATTATTATAGAATGTATCACCATTAGTTACTATTATTATAGAATGTATCACCATTAATTATCATTATTATTATAGAATGTATCACCATTAGTTACTATTATTATAGAATGTATCACCATTAGTTATCATTATTATAGAATGTATCACCATTAGTTATCATTATTATAGAATGTATCACCATTAGTTATCATTATTATAGAATGTATCACCATTAGTTATCATTATTATTATAGAATGTATCACCATTAGTTACTATTGGGTGGCCCGGTGGCCTGGTGGCTAAAGCTCCCGCTTCACACACGGAGGGCTCGGGTTCGATTCCCGGCGGGTGGAAACATTTCGACACGTTTCCTTACACCTGTTGTCCTGTTCACCTAGCAGCAAATAGGTACCTGGGTGTTAGTCGACTGGTGTGGGTGGCATCCTGGGGGACAAGATTAAGGACCACAATGGAAATAAGTTAGACAGTCCTCGATGACGCACTGACTTTCTTGGGTTATCCTGGGTGGCTAACCCTCCGGGGTTAAAAATCCGAACAAAATCTTATCTTATCTTATCTCTTATTATTATAGAATGTATCACCATTAGTTACTATTATTATAGAATGTATCACCATTAGTTACTATTATTATAGAATGTATCACCATTAACATTTTGACACTACTAGAAGAACTATTCTTAAGTTGTAATAAAGTTGGTAGAATTACCGACAATATGTAAAGTAAAAGGACACAAGTGCAACTAATGTGACATTTATTGTGGCAACGTTTCGCTCTCCAGGAGCTTTATCAAGCCATTACGTAATGGCTTGATAAAGCTCCTGGAGAGCGAAATGTTGCCACAATAAATGTCACATTAGTTGCACTTGTGTCCTTTTACTTTACATATTCTGAAGTTATTGAATGAGAAATGAATATCAGTATTTATTCCATAAAACTAGTAAGATGGGACTTGTGTCACATTATGGCAGTGAGAACTTTGCGTTTAGTAAACCACATCAGTGGTGAAAGTTTGAAGACGATCGGATGAGTCATTCTCCAGGTATGGTATGAATTCCAACAGCACTAATTTTTTTTCTCTTAATATTTTACTACATCAACGAAGCTGCGTAATAACGTTTACAACGAATATACGTTTACAACGAATATACGTTTACAACGAATATACGTTTACAACGAATATACGTTTACAACGAATATATTCCCCCTCAAGGAAGGTTCCTTGATGTTGGTGAGGGGCTCTTGATCTAGGGAATTGGACCCCTCAAGGAAGGTTCCTTGATGTTGGTGAGGGGCTCTTGATTTAGGGAATTGGATCTGTGCTCCAGTTCCCCGAATTAAGCCTGAATGCCTTCCACATCCTCCCCCCCCAGGAGCTGTATTATCCTCCAGGTTTAGCGATTCCCCCTTGATTATAATAATAATAATAACGAATATATTTATCAGGCAATAAAATATTATGGAGTTTTCTAATTAAAAATTAATGAAAAATTATAAAACACATCATCAAAATAAAAAAAAATCTTCTTTAAACAGACCGTAAGATCACATGACGGAGCAAATATTTAATTTAATCTACACAACATTCCCTCTTCAAGGGGGGCTCCTTGGCGTGGTGAAGAGGCTCTTGGTCTGAGGAATTAGACCTGTCGGTCTTCTTCCTCAGACCGAACCTAATTACCCCCCAATCTCCCCTTCCCTATCCCATCCTCCCCTTTTTCCTTTCCTCCTCCTCCTCCCCACCCCTCCCTTTTGCCCTTCCTCTTTTTGGCCTTTGGGATTGTTCCCACAGGCACGCTAGTTCCTAGGTAGGGGAAAGGATACCGGGGTCTATCCCATTCCGTTGAGGTTCTTGGCGGTGGCGTAGTTTGCCGTGGAATCTGGATCGCCTGGGGATGTCCCGATCCCTCTCCGGTATCCCGGAGTAGCTTTGGGTGTCTTTCGGGCGACGGGTGTATCTCTGGAAGCCACCTTTCGGATTCCGGGGGTGGTGGCCGAAGGAGGTATGCTTTGTGGCGGATATCCGGCCGCCCTCTCTTTTGTCCACCGAGGTAGCTCTGCAGATGTGAGGTTGCTATCCCGGATTGTTAGTTTACTAGTATTACAAAAAAGTAATTTTTAAAAGATGGATGTTAAGATTTACTCCTTTTGTAATAAAGAGTTCGGGATACATAAATACACACATTAAAATCAATTAATCTTTAATATATATAAATCAACTATCTTTGGTCTAGAGGTATTTGAACTATGATATATAATAATATGTACATGTCACTATAATAAATTATAATTAGCATCTAACTAAAATAAATAATTATTCGTGACCCTACACAGGGCACAACGTTCTTGACACTACTGTGTCACTATATATATATATATATATATCTATACTAAAATAATAAATTAAGTAACATTTGTATAATAATAAATTACAATCAACTGCTTCTCACGACACTTATCCGGTCGAGGCCAGTCACATGACACTATTCAGTGTACACTACAACCAGGCCATCTTCAGTGTCCCACGACACCCTTTTCATCTCAGTGTTCCACTACGGTCCTGTGCATATCTCAGTGTTCCACTCCATCATACATCCCTAAGTGTCACACTACGGTCCTGGCCCAGTTCAGTGTAACACTCCAACCTTTTCTTCATGTAATGTCCCACTAAACAGCATCTGATGATTCCGGCCCACAGTTGATCAGCGTAGACGGTGAGTCCACAGACATCACCGGTAGTCCAGTAAATCCTCTCCAAAGCCGGTTGACACACCGCTAGCCGAACACCATGCTGCAAGCTCACTGAATGCGGCCGTCAAGTAACTGAGGCCAACAGACTCAGTGAGCTGCGGTGAGCGGTTCTTCTAACGCCAGTAGATAGGTACGATTAGGTGGTCAGGTACCTACTGCGTAGATGTGTACCCTGAGGAGTTCAGGTACTTAATATTGAAGCCAGTAGACGTGTACCCTTAGGTGTGCAGGTACCTACTGCTTAGGTGCGTATCCTGAGGCGCTCAGGTACATACTGTTACTAAAGCCAGTAGACTGTACCCTTAGGTGGTCAGGTACCTACTGCTTAGATGTGCACCGTGAGGCACTCAGGAACTTACTGCTCTAAGGCCGGCTCAGCAGTCCCCACATTGGGTTTGATGACGTACCCAGTGGTACTGCCGGCCGGCAGGTTAACTATTTAACCGCTAGTTTGGCAGGGGGCCGCAACAACTAGCATGATGGGTAGGGTATGGCACGGGTTCCATGCTGCATCTGCGCTACTTGCGGTGCTGAGGTCCTCTTGGGCGCGGAGAGAGATTTCTGGCCCTTTCATTCCTCCTAGGAACTATCCCTCCCCGGTCCCCCCTTTTTTTATTCTTTTTTTTTTATTTTTATTTTCTTCTTTCTTTTTTTCTTAAAAACAAAAAGAAAGAAGTAACCTAACCATGGCAGCCCTAGTCCATGAACCTACTACCCCCGGGCCCCTTCTTGATACCGCACTCCGTTCCGACCCCGCCTCGTCTTTGGACCACTCTTCAGACACTCCTCATGCCTCTGTACCTATTGCCGGTGCTGTTTCCTCACCCGCTTCAGGTACTGAGGCCTCGACTGACTCCTTTGATTTATCGGACCTTCGCTCTCCTCTGACTATGCTTCCGGCCTCTCCCTCTACGGTGCGACAATTTTCAAATCGCCGACCTGTTCCACGTCGGACCAACTCTGGTCCCATGCCTAAATGCCAACGACAATTACCTGCTGATGATACTTCTCCACCTTCTCGTTCTTCTCAGAAACGATCGACACGTCCTTCACTACCTTTTCACGCTCAGCTTCAGACTGAACAATGGACTAAATTCTTCACTTTACGACCGACTTCCTCTACTGCCTATCTTTCTGACCACAGTATTGGCAAGGCACTCCTACGCCATGTTGGTAAAGATATTTCTTTTCATGCTCATAAGAGCGGTACGCGCATCATTACCGTACAGAATGCTACCCAGGCTCATGAGCTCTCTCGTCTTTCCCATATCGATACTGTTCCTGTCACTCTTGAAAAACATCATTCCCTCAATTCTTGTAGTGGTACCGTCATTCTGCCCCATACCATAGTTCAAACAAAATTTCCAGACATGTGGCACTGACATTCTTGAACAGCTGGAACTCCAAGATCTCCCATCCTCAAGGTAGACACTTACGTTCTTCCTGCCCGCGAGCGGAGACGATACCCTAGCAATGTGGCTCGTTTTAACTTTTGACAGCCGAGAACTCCCATCCACAGTTTATATAGCAGGACATCGGTTACAAATTCGAAAGGTGATCCATACACCACAACAGTGTAGAAATTGCTGGCGATTTGGCCATCCAGCGAAATATTGCAGATCTATCGCCAAATGCCCAGTCTGTGGTGCCGATGACCATTCTAATATGTCTTGCAATCGATCTCCCTCTTGCCTTAACTGTCATGAGGCTCACCCTTCGTACTCTCGCCGTTGTCAAGTCTATTTAAACGAGCGGGAAATCCGTTACCTCAAAGAGACAGAAGGTCTCCCTTATGCCATGGCAGTTTCTCATCTCCGCCTCCAAGGGAGACTCCCACGTGTTTCTTATACCCGTGTTTCAAAACGTTCCCCCACTTCTGGTATCCCATCTTCTACACCCACCTCTGTGGTTACCTCTCCCATAGTCACTCCTGTATCTAATCCTTTTGCTGTCCTCGGTTCAGACGTCCCTACTTCAACGCCTCAGTCTGATCTCGCTTCTTTGAGTTCTCTCTCTCACAAGCCTCAGTATCGACGAGACCTCGTACGACACCTCCTCCCAATCGTCCCTCTACTTCTCAAAAGTCAAAAAAAGGTCCGTTAACACCTCCTACCCATCTTCCACCTCCTCATTTTACCCTCCCTGTCTCTGTCCCTGATTCTCCCCCTTTCACTGGCTCAGTTACAAGTGTAGAGGTTCACCCTCCTCCTCGTACTGTACCTTCCTCCCTGTTCCCTCCCAAGTTTCTTCCTCTTCTGCCACCTCCCAGGTTCCTGCCTCTTCTGTCCCCTGCCACGCTTCTCCAGTTCCCTCCACCCTTTCGCCCCCCCCCCTACCTTGGTACAGTCCAATACAGTTCCAATCTTTACTCATCCTCCCCTACCATTTCCAATATTGTCTCCCATACGACGTCTCTGAATTCAGAAACACTTGAAGCAATCTCTGAATATATTGCAGAGACCAAACCATTAATGGACACTGATCCACCTTCCGCTCTTTCTCTCTCCTCTGCTCCATCTGCGCAACTCCTTTCTTCACAGTGCACCGTTCCTTCGCTGCTTGAACGTTTTCCACTGCCTCCGCATGTGGACTTTTCTAACCCCTCTAGTCCGTAGGAACCCATACCTCCGGATTTCAAGTATCTTGATCATTGCCAATCATGGCCTATTTACAGTGGAATATACGCGGCCTCAGGGGTAATCGGGGTGAACTTCAGATGTTACTCTCCCAGTTTGCCCCTGTTGGTGTTTGCTTACAGGAACCAAAATTACACTCTGCTTTTATTTCTCCCATCTCAGGCTATAATTTATTATATTCTTCAGATCCTTTTCCTGATGGGACCTTTAATGAAAGTGCCCTTCTTCTACGCACTGATATTCCGTACCATCAGCTATTTGTTCATACTTCGCTGCATTACACAGCAGCCCGTATCCACTTACATAGGTGGTATACACTCTGTTCTTTATATCTCTCTCCTTCTCGGGCATTATCTATTCCGGATATTGCCTTCCTTGTTTCGTCATTACCGCCACCGATTCTGTTACTTGGTGATTTTAATGCCCACCATTTCCTCTGGGGGGGGTCTCACTGTGATTCCGTGGAATTCAGTTAGAGGCTTTTCTTGCCACCCACCCCCTCCATGTTTTAAATACAGGTACTCACACCCATTTTGATCCTCGGACTCATACTCTCTCTTGCATCGATCTCTCAGTCTGCTCTTCCTCCGCCGCATTAGACTTCACTTGATCTGTTCTCCGGACTTACATGACCAGTGATCATTTCCAATCATTCTTACTTCCCCTTCTATTCGCCACCTCTTCGCACCCCACGCTGGCAATTTAATTGAGCAAATTGGAACCTTTACTCACACCTAACTGTTTTGAAAGAGGTTCCTTCTTCGTCCTCCATCGATGAGCTTTTACACCTCTTCTCGTCCTCCGTTTTCACCGCAGCTTCTCATTCTATACCCCAAACTTCGGGCAGGCATTCTCAGAAATGCGTGCCTTGGTGGTCTCCTGCTTGTGCTCGTGCACTACGTTTGAAACGCGCTGCATGGGGCAGGTACCGGTACAATAGAACCACAGAGAGACTCCTTGATTTTAAACAGAAGCGTGTGATCGCTCGCCGTGTCATCCGTGATGCTAAACGCACTTGCTGGCGAGATTATGTCTCCACCATCACCTCTGCTTCCTCTATGAGTGCAGTCTGGAAAAAAGTACGAAAACTGAGTGGTAAATATTCTCCTGACCCGGCTCCTGTTCTGCGGGTTGCCGGTGTTGATATAGCAAACCCACTAGATGTTGCCAGTGAAATTGGCAATCATCTGGTCTGTATTTCTCAGGGACTCCATCTATGCCCTCATTTCTTTCCTCAAAGTCTGCCAGAGAAGTTAGCACCCTTGGACTTTTCTTCTCTCAGAGAAGAACAGTATAATGTGCCTTTTACACTTCAAGAACTGGAGGCAACACTCTCAGCTTGTCGATTATCGGCAGCTGGGCCCAACGACATTCATATTCGTATGCTACAACATTTACATCAGTCAGCCCTTGCAGTCCTATTACGCCTTTACAATCTTATTTGGTCACAAGGAGTTCTTCCACAGCTGTGGAAATCCGCCATTGTACTCCCTTTCCACAAACCAGGCACTACGGGACATGAAACCTCCCACTATCGTCCCATTGCTCTTACCAGTGCAGTTTGTAAAGTAATGGAACGCCTAGTAAATAGACGTTTAGTGTGGTATTTAGAGACACACAACAGTCTCTCCACTCGTCAATATGGCTTTCGTAAGGGACGTTCTACCATAGACCCCTTACTATGCTTGGATACGTATGTTCGTAATGCCTTTGCGAATAACCACTCAGTTATTGCCATATTTTTTGACCTTGAGAAGGCATATGACACAACTTGGAGGTATAATATTTTAGCCCAAGCCCACTCCTTAGGCCTTCGAGGCAATCTACCATCCTTCCTTAAGAACTTTTTAACTGACAGGCATTTCCGTGTTCGGGTTAATAATGTGCTCTCCCCGGACTTTATCCAAGCTGAAGGTGTCCCCCAGGGATGTGTTCGAGCACAACACTTTTTCTCCTTGCTATTAATGATTTGGCCTCTAGTCTTCCATCAAATATTTGGTCATCACTCTATGTTGATGACTTCGCTATTGCCTGTGCAGGCGCTGACTGTCACCTCATAACAGTTTCTCTCCAACATGCAGTCGACCGTGTTTCCAATTGGGCCAGCACACGTGGGTTTAAATTTTCCAGCACTAAAACCCACCAAATTACTTTCACTAGACGCTCTGTCATCTCCGATCATCCTTTGTACCTCTATGGCTCCCGTATCCCTGAACGTGATACAGTCAAGTTTCTGAGCCTCCTCTTTGATCGTAGGTTATCCTGGAAACCTCACATTACCTCTCTGAAGGCAACTTGTCACAGCCGGCTGAACCTTCTTAAAACCCTTGCTCATCTTTCATGGGCAGCTGATCGTCGAACCCTCCTTCGCCTACATTCCACCCTTATTTTATCGAAACTTGATTATGGTGACCAGATCTATTCAGCGGCATCTCCTGCTACTCTCTCTAGCCTTAACCCCATTCATCACCAAGGATTACGTTTATGCCTTGGTGCTTTTCGCTCTTCCCCTGTCGAGAGCCTCTATGTGGAAGCGAACGTTCCGTCCTTATCCGATCGCCGTGATGCCCATTGCCTGCACTACTATGTACACTCTCATGATCTCCGCAATCCGTCCATTTATAGAATGGTCACGGATATTAGTAGACATTCTTTATTTGTTCGCCGCCCCTGTTTACTCCGTCCCTTCTCTCTTCGCCTTCATTCGCTCTTGTCTTCTCTTCAACTACCACCTTTCTATGTACATGTAGCATCTCACTTTTCCCTACCCCCCTGGGAAGTTCCAGCTGTTTGAGTCTGTTCTTTCTCCCTCCCTTGCTCGAAAGCCCAACTGTCTACGGTCGCTTCCCGCTCTCTTTTTCTTGACCACTTTCACTCTCATGCTCATGCCATTGCTGTGTACACAGATGGCTCTAAGTCTTCTGATGGCGTAGGATTCGCAGCAGTGTTTCCGGACAGCGTCGTACAAGGGCATTTACTATCTTCGGCTAGTATTTTTACTGCTGAATTATATGCCATCCTTACAGCACTTATCTGTATTGCATCTATGCCTGTGTCATCATTTGTGGTTGTCTCAGTCTCCCTTAGTGCTTTACAGGCTATACAAAAATTTGATACACCTCACCCCTTAGTCCTCCATATCCAACTTTGGCTACGCCGCATCTTTACCAAGCATAAAGATATTGTTTTTTGTTGGGTCCCTGGTCATGTTGACGTACAGGGCAATGAACAGGCAGACACTGCTGCGAGGTCAGCAGTACATGACCTACCAGTTTCTTATAGAGGTATTTCATTTAAGGACTATTTTGCTGCAATATCTTCCCACCTTCACACCCGTTGGCAACAACGTTGGTCTACTATGCTCGGCAACAAACTTCAATCTATTAAACCGAGTATAGGTTACTGGCCATCTTCTTATCACCAGTGTCGAGGTTGGGAGACTACTCTCTCCCGTCTTCACATTGGCCATACTCGTCTTACTCATGGATATCTCATGGAGAGGCGTCTTGCTACTCTCTGTGAGAATTGCCAAGCTCCATTATCAGTCAGCCACATTCTTTTGGACTGCCCACTTTATCAACGAGCACGCAGAATTTACCTCTGTCGTCGTCTTCGCTCCGCTGCTCTCTCTTTACCTTCCCTTCCCGCTGATGGACCCACCTTTCATCCGGACTCTCTCATTGACTTTTTGACAACAACTGACTTACTTCACAAATTCTGATACCTTCAGCCCTTTCTACTTCAATCTCTTGCTACCCTCTACCCCCGTACTATCCCCTGCCCCGCTGTTTTCTGTAACCTGCTGATCATCCCTCCTCCCTTCTGCCATCCAATACCCTCGCTTCCTTCCCTACCCTGCAGGGCTGTATAGCCCTTGTGGCTTAGCGCTTCTTTTTGATTATAATAATAATAATACACAACTTTCAAACTATTTCCCATATCTCTCTTCCCTCTTCACTAAATAAAATGTTTGAAGGTTTTACAAATATATTTCTGACTGTAGGAGAGACAAGAGGAGAGGACTGGAGTCAGTCTGCACGACGGCGACATTAACACCACCAGCAGCAGCACATGTATTTACCCGCAAGAAACTGTCGTCACCAGCCACGACATTACTCACATCTCTGACCACGACCACCACAAAGGACGTCTGGGCGCCTCCCACCACGACGACCGCCAGGGACGTCTGGGCGCCTCCCACCACGACGACCGCAAGGGACGTCAGGATGCTGCCAAAAACATTTCGTGAGTGTCCTAATTGTGTATTGTGGGTGGTAGTGATGCTGTGGCCCTGAGAGGCCTCAGGGTACCTGTAGGGAGTGATGCTGTGACCCTGAGAAGCCTCAGGGTACCTGTAGGGAGTGATGCTGATGGTCAGAATAGCCTAAGGGACAGTATCACGTGCACGGCGCACAAGTGACGAAGAAAAAAAAAACAGAAAAATTATGGAAATTGAGTTAATCATGTAGAAAAATAGCTAAACTCTTCTGCAACACTCTGGTATAAGTCTCAGTGTTTTACACTGTTCCTACAAGGAATTATAATCATTTATATCACGTACGGTGACGCTGCCACCTGTAACATGCTTGCTCACATGCAATAAATGTTTTTAATTTTTTTTTTTAGCTATTTCCTGTATTATTCTTTCTAATATAATTCGCAATTTGGCATCATAACAAAGTGAGTGAAGTTAATACACAGTCTGAGAGCCAATCAGGAACAGTCTGGAAATATTTGCTTACATCAGCAGAAATTCCCGAGTCTCTTGATGCCAGTAAGTTTATTCAGGTATACACAAATACAGTTACATAGATTATCATACATAGCAGTATATGTGTAGAGAACCTGGGATAACCCAAGAAAGTCAGTGACTTATTTCCATTGGAGTCCTTTTACCTTATTATAATATAAAGGTGATAATATCTTATTATTCTATAATGAAGATAACATCTTATTATCATACTATTAAGACTATCTACAATACGAGGGTCATTACTAGGAATAAGGTAAAATTATACGTGTGTTAACTAAAAAAAAATAAATCATTCCCCTCCCTTTCTGTAGCTACATTCATCAGACACCTTTTGGCACTCTTCTTGAACTGGTTCATGCTATGACTGGCTTTGACATGTGCTGGCAATCTGTTCCATTACTTTACTGCTGTACAATAAAAGGTGTTTGAAGCCTGGCCACTGACTGTGGCTACTACAAAGTTGTGCTCTCTCCCCCTAGTACTATGATTGCTTTGGTTCCCAACCTTGACAAAATTGACAGCAAGATATTCTGGACACTGTTTGTGAGCAATTTTATAAACATGATTTAGCTCCAGTTGTTTTACTCTGTCTTCAACATTCAGCATATCCAACTGCTGTAATTCATCCTGGCCTACATGTTCTCTTGGTCCCAGCCCCAGGATGAATCTCACCATTTTGTTCTGGGTGATTTGCAGTCTCTTTCAGTGTTTTTTTTTTTGGTCAAGACAGAGTACCATGAAGAGCAAGCGTAATCCATATGACATTGTATAAGGGCTAGACATAGGGTCCTGCGAGCCTCAGTAGGTAGACACTGTGCTTGTCTGTAGAGGAATTTCAGTCTGGCATTCGCTTTCGTTACTACACTGTTTCCTATCAATTCTCCTGACATGCATGGGTCAAAGGGGATTCCCAGATATTTTGCTGAGGAAACTGAAGTGATGGGCTCCCCATTACACTGGACATTAAAACTATTTACCATTCTCAGTTTGTTTCGTGCCAAAGAGAATGGCTTCAGTTTCTCGAGGTGCAATGATAGTTTGTTGTCTAACAATTTACTGCAGGACTCCAGTTCCAGTGTTAATACATTAGCTATATCTTGTGGGTCTTTACCTGACACTAACAGAACACTGTCATCTGCATACAGTAGGAGTTTGCACTTGACACTGATAGGCATGTCGTTAATATAGCATAGGAATAATAAGAGGCACAGAATACTACCTTGGGGAACTCCATATGCTACACCTGGCCATCGGCAGGGGTTCTGATTCCGTTTTGTTGATTTTGACAATTTCTCTCTTGTTGCTAAGGTAGGACTTAAACCAGTCTACAGAACCTATACCGATAGCTTGAAGTTTCTTACATAATATATTGTGGTTGACAGAGTCGAAGGCCTTTTGCAGGTCTAAGGTTACCATACCTATGAGGCTCCCCTTTGACATTTCAGTTCTCAGGTAATCCATCATATTAATTAGGGAGGTGTCGGTTGAATAAGATCTTCTAAAGCCCAATTGATAGCTATGGAGAATGTTGTCATTAAGGTACTTAACTACTTGAGAGTACACCGCCCTCTCTAGAATTTTGGATATTATACTGAGTATACTAACAGGACTATAGTTGCTTACATCAGACCTACTATTTTTCTTGAAGATAGGAGTAACTCTGGCCTCTTTGAACCCCTCCGGTACGGTATTAGTGGTGATGGACAAATTTATTATGTGAGCAGTAGGAATTTACAGTTCAGAAGCACCATCTTCTAGGAACTTAGACGGGATGTTATCAGGGTCGGTGCTCTTAGTTGGGTTTAACCTGCTTAGTTCTTGTTGAATAAAGTCGTGAGATACATTTACTAGTTGACAATTGTTTGGGGTTACCCCTTTATTGGTATAGTATGTTTGAAACTTATCAGAGTCTTTGTTAAAGGTATTTGATGCAGCTGGTAGACTACTTACTAGTGTTGATGCGACAGATGTGTAGTAGGAATTGAAACAATTTGTCACTTTAGTTGTTTCGTGGCATACCTCGTTATCGATAGTGAGTACTATGTTAGACCTATATACTGGCTTATGGCTATACTCCAACTGTTTTAGTTGTTGCCAGAGCTTTCTGGGGTTATGCTTATACTCTTCAATTTTTGAGCAGTAGTGCTTTACCTTTGCTCCTTTTTATAAGTCTCTGTACTCTGTTCCTCACCCTTTGGAATTCATTTAGTGCTGCAATATCCTGTCTTAAATCTTTTTAGCAGCTGGTCTCTGAATGTCATATTATCTAATATCTCAGTAGTCATCCTGGGTTCAGTTCTTCGTTTAATCCTAACCTCTTTAACTGGTGCAATATTATCAAGGATGGTAGTGAACATTGTTTTGAATTTTTCCCAGGCATCATTTACGCCCCTGCAACTTATCTCTGTCCAGTCACAATTCTGTAACCTATTTACCAGTGTTTCTTTACTGTAGTTTCTAGTTGACCTCATTTTTATTGTCCTGTGTAGGCCTATCCTATCCCTAGTGATTTTCCTGGTGCAGTAAATGATGAAATGATCACTAAGGCCTGTGGTAATGACGCCCGACTGACGCCGGGGAATATGCTTCATTATTACGTTAATATCAAAACTACGACTTAATAATCTATCGCAATTGATCTAATATGACGTAAGACAATATGTAAATGACATACAAACATGATAGATACTCTACTATGAATAAAATAAGCCATAATGTGACGAGTGGTTGCGGTCAGACCCAAGGTATAATAGTTACTGCTCTGACCATATCTTTTTCTCCTGGTCTTTTGAGGTCCTGAGATAAGAGAAAACGGAGTGTTTGTCAGGTTAACTGCACTAGATCACAAGCTTCATTTGAAAACCCTGAAAAAAAAGCGATTTTCTCTATTTTTTTTTTCACGAGTCATGAGGTATGCGCGCGTTTTTACTTAATATTTCGGAAGTTATTGACTTATTTCATTAACGGTATAACAACGCTGGTCAACAACCAAAATGCTTCCACAACCCGAAAAGCAATTTCCTGCTAATTTTAGGACGCTGATAATGAATATCATGCTTAAAACTGTTAGCTTTTCTTTTCAATATACACTTGTGTCACAACAGGTTCCAACAGGCTTGTGGCAGTGTGTTTCTTATCACACTCACAGTTTCACTGACCTTCATTATTGTTTCAGCAGTCATAGAAGGTGTTTGTGCTGTGCAAGTTTATATTTTGAGGTGAAAGGTAGGTGATTTTCTTAGCCAAACACTTTTTAAACTTATAATAAATATTCACTGAGCAAGTCATGCAAGAGGTTCCCACTACATCAGGAGAGATTGGCGACCTCGTCAATCAGAGCAGGAGATGCACAAATTAACATTAAGATTGACAACACTCTAATTACCAGAAATAATGGGGGAAAATTCCTAGGCTTATACCTTGACAACAACCTGAATTTCAGCACCCATATCCAGCATATAGCCAAAAAAGTATCCAAAACGGTTGGGATCCTCTCCAAGATACGATACTATGTGCCGCAAAATGCCCTTCTCACACTATACCACTCACTTATTTATCCATACCTCACCTATGCTATTTGTGCTTGGGGATCAACTGCAGCAACACACCTAAAGCCAATAATAACCCAACAAAAAGCTGCAGTAAGAATAATCACTAAATCCCATCCCTGGCAGCACACCCCCCCCCCCCACTCTTCAAAGATCTAAACTTACTCCCAGTTCAGTACATCCACACTTACTACTGTGCAATCTATATCTACAGGGCCTTAAACTCCAATATCAACCTTGACCTAAAACGCTTTCTTGATAGTTGTGACAGAACTCACAGACATAACACCAGACACAAACATCTCTACGACATTCCCGTGTCCGACTAAACCTTTACAAAAATTCATTGTATGT